GCGGAGGTGCGGCGGAGCTCCCCGGGGGAGCCGTAGCTTCCCGATGGAGCCGGCGCTTCCCGGCGGCCTCTCCGGAGCCGCGACCGCTCGCTCTGCTGCGCTGCTCATCCTGCGGTTTTCCTGGTGTTTTCCTCCCACCGCCGCGAGGGCCGGGATGTGCCAGGCTCCTCCGCGGCAGCGTCACGAAGGCGTCGGGTCTCAGCTGCCCCGGCAGCTCCCCGCGGGCTGCCCGGCTCCCTTGCCCTGAGCTCAGCAGCTTTGCCCAGCACGGGGCAGCGCAAGGCGAAAGCCACCTTAATGAAGACGAATGGGGGCAGAGCCACGGGGTGGACGGGGAGCCGGGAGCATCTGACTCCTGCACTAAGCGGCTTAGCCCGGCCGTGTTTGCCCGGCTCCGGGAGCTAATTCCTAGCAGGTGATGCCTTCCCAGAAAGTTTCTTTCCCCATTCCAGCATCTTTGGCCAAATCCCTTGGCTCTGTGTGGCTCTGTGTTGCCTTGGGGCGCACGGGGGCTGCGGCATCATGTGCATCGTGCCCGTGCCATCCCCTCCTGTGCCCGGCCATGGCACCGGTCTTCACCCGCTGGCAGATCCCTGCCTTTCCCCTGCATCCTGCTCCACTGTGTGTGTAATTCCCGCTCCGTCCTGGCTGGGCATCGCTGGTGCTCATGGTTGCGGTCAGGGGCTCCCGCTCTGATATTCCTTCCCCGGGGCCCTACTGTGCTCCTGGAGCAGTTAACGGCATAAGGAAGGAAAGGGGCTTCGTTAATAATTCACTGGGAAAAGAAACTGGCTCCATCGAGGGCCTTGGAGGCCGGGGAGCGCCCGGAAAGAGGCTGGAAGGGGTGGCCCCACTTCGTGCCTCGGTTTCCCCAGCTGTGGGACTGGGGATGGGGGATGCACCGGAGAGCAGGGGCTCATCTGAGCCACTTGGTTCCTGCTGCTCCAGCCCGCCCTGGCCCCTTGCTCTGCATCCAGCCCCTCTCCTTGGCTCCCTTTGCCGCCGGGACCCCCGGCTCCCGTTTCTCCTTGCGGCGCTTTCGGGCTGCCCCTGCGGCTCCGTGCCCGGCCTGGCTCCGGTTTCAGGCTCCTCGCTGCCGTCTCCGCTCGAAAGCCCCGAGTCAGCAGCGCAGTGGAGCCGGTGGCACCGCGCCCGCCGCTCCGGCCCCAAAGCTCCCGCGCCGCTTCCCGGCCCGCCGAATTTCCCAACCGCAGGAGGATGCTGCAGGATGGAGCCCCCGGCTCCCGGTGCTCCGTGGGCTCCGGGCACCGCGGTGGCCCAAACGGTGCCCGCGGCAGCCTCGGCTCCCGGACCGGACCCCCCTGCTCCGTTACGCAAGCGGCTCCCGCCGAGCGCGGCCCTTTGCGCGCTGTCATGTGGGCCGGTGGAACAAGCTTCCCCGCTTTCCATATTTAGAATCGCTGGATCAGGAGAAAAAATGTATTTTTGGAGAGTTTCGTTTGCTTCAGCTCCCGAGTCTATATTTTTTTTCCCCCTCCCCTCCTTGTTATTTTAAGTGGGCCAAAAGCCCCTTTGGTCTTAACCCGCCGCTCCAGGCGAGCAGCCTCGCGGCAGCTCCTGTTAACTCTTCCCTGGGCCCAGCTCATCCAGGTCATCCCCAGCAGCAGGATGTCCCTGCAGGACGGCTCATTGGGCCATAGTGTCCGGACACCCCCTCCATGCACCAGGGCTCCCGGCTGCAGCTCCAGGCCTGGATGCAGCTGCTGCAGCGCAAGGATACAGGGATCCCACCCGGAATCTCCCCGGAGGGGCAAAGCCCCTGCTCCAGCAGCCTCGTTGGATGCCGAGGACGTGCGCTGCCCGCGGGCAGCGGGATGGGGATGCAGCAAGCGCCAACCTCCGTCCCCAGCCCCTCTCGGTGTCCTCCGCGCTAATGCGGCACGCGGAGCTGCTCCCCCGAGGAGCCCTGCAGCCTCTTCCCAGCTATTAAATATTTACAGCAGCGGCCCGGCGGCGAGCGGTGCCAGGAGACGACCGCCCGTCTGCTTGGGTTTCCTCCGCGCTGCCTGCGCGGGGCCCGCGCCGGATCGGGATCAGCATCCCCGGCAGCTGCTCGTGGGCTCCGTGTCACCCCCGGGGGACACCCCGCGTCCCTTGGCGGGGAAACGGGCAGGTCCCGTCGGGCCGGGCGGGCAGCCAGCGCGGGCACCGCTCACTGCGGCTCTCGTTGCAGATTCCTGCTCGTGTTTAGCTGCCTGGTGCTCTCCGTCTTCTCCACCATCCAGGAGCACCAGAAAGTGGCCAACCAGTGTCTCTTCATCCTGGTAAGGGCCGGCCTCGCTCGTGGGCTCGGGTAGTGCCCGCCGGGCACGGAGCCGGCGCCGGCTCCATCCAGGGTGCCCCGCATGGGTGCTCTGAACTTCAGCCTTTCCCTTGCTCCCTATGAGACCCGCACAAGATGGCCCAAACCCGGGCCCTGACCCCCATCCCAGCCCTCACCTGGTCACTTAACCTGCAACCATTAGTGCTGCTAACGATGCCGGGGGGAGCGGGTTCCTGGCTGCTCCCGCATCCTCACCCGGCACCGAACCCGGAGGGAGGCCTGCCCCGCCGCGAGAGGCAGGGCAGGGAATAGGGTGGAAGGGGGGGTCTAAAAAAGGCAACTTTCCCCCAAACTGTCAGAAAGGGCTGACGCGGGAGTTCTCCCGAGTGATGGAGACTAATTTGGGAAGGTCCTTGTGACTTTCCCGCGAGTAAGCAGAACGGGGGCTCGTTGGCGCGCGAGGACAATGCTGACGGCGGAGGAAAAGGACCCAGCTCTGCGCGCTCGGCGCGGGGGGCCCGCCGTGACCGA